CATGTGAATATAAACATCGAGCTCAAATTGGTTGTCTTCTTCTTGCATCAATGCCTATATTTGGAATTATTGTTGGTGTTATTTATTTTTTCTTATTAGATTGGCGGCATATGCAATTACTAGGTATGATTTCATTTATTTATTTTCAATAGTTTTTATTTGCTTGTATTCAGGTACACTAATTGCTACATTAACATTATGTTATCCATGGTAAAGAATATTAATTTTGTTTTTCTTTCATTTAAATAAAATCTTCTTTTTTTTTTTTTATAAATATAAACAATAGGCTTGTACCAGAATCTCGTCGATGGTATGTAAATAGTCATCGTGTATCACGTGTTAATAAACTTTTACAATTATGTTCAACTAAACAATCGCCAAAATTAGGTTTAAATAAAATTGGTGTACCAGCACCAACAACAATTGTTTACGATAAACCAATTCTATCCCAAAAATCATTACGTGTTCAAACAGGTTCAATATCATGTTTAATAATGGAACAACAATTACGTATAATAACATGTTGTTTATTTATACTTTGGTTTGATAAATTCTTTTTGTTTTAATTGATTTTTTTAATTGTTTATTTAGGTTTATTTCATCATTTTGTTATCGATGTACATTTTTTCCATCGATTTTACCACATCCAACTATGAATTATGTTTTAATGAATGCTATTGAATTTTTTTCATTTATTATTGCTCTTATTGTTGCATATAAGTCAGTGGAAAATAATTACCATGTGTAGAAAAATATAAAAATATTTTCTAGAATTGGACGTCGACCTCCATTGGCTGTACTTATTTTAATTAGTGGTCTTTCTTCAGTTTCTTTAGCTGTTACATTACTTGGAACAGGTTCGTAAAAAAAGAAACTAATATTTTATTTTTTTGTATTTTGTTTTTTTGGAAACTATAAATCTTATTTTGAAGGGCATATTTGGTTAGAAATAATATTTTCACTTCTTGCACGTAGTTGTTTACGTACTTGTTATTGTATTTTAATTTTATTTACATCTGAACTTTATCCAACATCAGTTCGGTAAAATTTTCTTATATTCACAAATTCATATTTGATCATTATGTTTAGAGCTACTGGTTTGGCTATTGGACTTACAGGTGAAATTCTATCAATAATACTTGTGGAAATTTTTTTTTACGTATGTTTAATTGAGAATAAAATTAAGAAAAAAAGATTTTGTTTTCTAATTTAGTTTCTAATTGATCGTTCATTACTTTTATTTATATCTGGTGGTATGTTATGTCTTTGTTGTTGTTTAATAATTCCGTTACCTGAAACAATTCTCTTTGATTTACCTGATTCACTTACTGATTTAAAATCAATGAAACATTCAACATCAAGTGATACTGATGGTGATATGTCACTATCGTCTCAACGTAATCATATAATTGATTCTAATACACTTCTACGTGAACCACAAACAAATACAGCAATTACATCTGATTTTAATGATTTATCATCACCACCTCAACAACAACAACAACAACAACAACATGTACTAACACCAAAAACTATTTTAAGATCACAACAACAGACTACAACTGGTGGAAATGGTAAAACTGTAACAATTCATTCTCAACCAGAAATTATACAATTACAATCGAATACATCATCATTAAATGGACTTTCAAATCCATGTTATTTTGCTTCATTAGATGATGCGATTGATCAATATGATATTGAACAACATATAGATAATACAGTGGTGATCAGTATTCGAGGCGCACAAACTAGCAAAAATAATAATAATAATAATAATAATAACCGTGAAGATCGTGAAGCAGAAGCTACAAAATTTTAAATATATAGACAAACAAATAAAAAAAATAATCAGTTTTTTTTTAATTAGTAAAATATGAAGAGTGTTTCAAAGTTTAATATTGAATATTAATATAGAATGATTATCATAGTCTCTATTGAAAGAATCTTGTAGGAATGCACATAATTCCTAGATTGCAGTCTCAAAAATGATTTGTTTTTGATTTTTTTATTGATACTTCATAATCTGTCAATTTTTTATAATAGTTCTACTTAAATTTGATTGTTCGATCCGCTGGTATCATTAGGTTTCATGAAGTCTGAAAAATGAAATTCAAAGTTGGTCAAGATTTATGAGTATTAAGGGAAAATTCGATCAATTTCGTATCCTATAAAGACGAAAACTTGTAGCTCTAAAAATATTCGAAATATGGTTTCTTCGAGTATGAATGTACTAATTCTTGGAGTTTTAATTCGAAATTACACATACCTGTTGTATTGAGAACTTATAGATTCATGTTAGCGATGTTCAATTTTTCATGCTATGGTTTCATTTCTTTGCATTCTTAAAATATAAAGTGTTCGAAAAAAGTGAACAAGAATATATCTTAAACAGTTTAAGGAGTTAACTTGCACATTTTATTGTAGGCTACTTAACGTTTTATTTAGGATATTTTAATTAAAACCTATATGCTTATCAATAATATAATCCTAATAGTTTCATCAGTGGATTAATTTGAGTTGCCTATGATCATACAAACGAAAACTGCCAATCGAATTTCACAAGAGAACATCACATGAAGACTTTATTAAAACTATTTCTCAACGCTTTTATAAAACTGATATCGTAGTAGATTAATCACATTTAGAAGGCTATAAAAGTAACAGCATATGAGAAATGTCGATAAAATTCGTATTATTTATAAAGGTGTACCAACATCATGTCTTCGATCTACTGTAAAAGTTTCCTTAAAAACACACTGAATTATGATAAAATCTAAAAAATAGTATAAAAAAATATGATCTCTTCACATATTGACATTGACAAATACTTGTTTCTAGAAAGTATTTTTCTTCACATGTCGATTCGAAGAGACTGTCCGATCCGATGATTTCTGTGTTCTCTGCTTGAGTCCATCGGATCCAGTCAGATCATACTTCGATAGTATCGATGAAATTTTCTGATCAAAATTGGATAGTCGCCCCGAAGATACAAGATACTTTTTTTTTTGTTTCTTTTTGTATCCGGTGATTAACGCATCCTACACATTTCTCACAGGGGTAGACCCATGTGATTAGAACCGGAAAAAAACCGGCGGTATACCGCCGGTTGACCGTTCGGTATAATGTGCGCTCTACCGCCGGTTAACCGCCGGTACTGCCGGTAGTTGCAAAAAAAACCGGCGGTATACCGGCAATATACCGGCGATAATTTCGTCTTTTACCGGTAAACTCAGGGTATGAACCTACTGACCCGCTATCTTATGAATCTAAGAATGAATTTCGGTGGTCGCATACAAAAGATTGAGCTTTTGGATTTTATCATTAGAAAATTATTTTTTTGTTTCAATTTCGGTATTATTATTTCGTCTTAAGTGAAATATAACTCTTACTAAATTTTTTCTTCTCAGAAACAGCTATATTTCACTCACGACCAAAATGTAATACCGGAATTGAAACAGAAAAAATAATTTTCTAATGATAAAGTTTAAAAAAATTAATTTTTTGTATGCGATACTATAAACTCATTCTTAGATTCACAAGACAGTGGATCGCAGACTTGATTATAAACAGTTGTGGTTTTTGCTTCATTTTTCCGACTAAATAATGCTTAAAATAATCTAAATAAAAAATGAAATAAAATATTTTGTAATAAATAAATAAATACTTTCTTTTCCGGTTTTAAAATTGCTCTAAATAAAAGAAAAACTAATAATAAAATAATAATATTTTGCATGAATACGTAATTTTTCTTTTGGTGCTGAGATCGTCGTAAATAAAACAATGATATAGTAATAATAATTCATATAATAAACACTTACTGTTTATTGCAATGTTCACAATCATCTAAATCAAAAAGAACGCTATCATATATATTTATAGACAGAGATAGATAGATAGATAGTTTCACCGCCGGTATACCGCGGTAATCAAGAAAACCGTCGATATACCGCGGTATTTAAACCAACCGCCGGTATTCTCGACTACCGCGGTATACCGGCGTTAGTTCAANAAACTAATTTCGGAAAACAGAAAAGATTATTATATTATAGACAACTCAATATGCTCTATAATTTGAGTAGACCTACAACGATTTTGGCAAACATTTGGAAAAACCAGCTAATGAAGACGTAAGGAGATTTCTTATTATTCTTGAAAACTTTCCCTCATAAGTTGATCATAATTCAACTATGCAAAACAATAGGATACAGCTATTTCCATAGATTAGACAAGTCATGTTATTAAACGTTGTGCTTAGACAATAGTAACGATATTTTACCACAAAATATTTTCAAACAGTGTAAATAATTAACAATTCAATTTTAAAAGTTTTTACACAAAGGTCTATGACAAACTTTATATTTTCTCGTTAAACTTACGAAGAAATCTTCTCGAATGATCTCTTCTTATTTCAATGATTTATTCGTCTATAGATACTACTACATAGTGTTCTAATCAAAAACCCAACAAGGTTCAGATTTTTAGAGAACTTGTATTTTCAAATTTTGATCAGAAATTTTGCACATATACAGAATTCGACTAGATTAGCTTTCATATAAAAATTCAGAAAGTTTGAATAAAGTCTTGTCGAGATATGAGACTTTCAAGACATTAACCCTTTTCCGTATATAGTGTATGGAACATGCATTTGTTTTTAAAAGTTTTATATTTCGAAGACACTTTGTTCAAAACCTTCGAATTTTTTTATAAAAGTTATTCTAGTTGAGTTCTGTATATGTGCAAAGTTTCAGATTAAAATTTGAAAATACGAGCTCTTCGAAAACCTGAAGCTTCTACAAAAGAATTTCGATTGCTTTGTCAAATTTCAATAGGAACCCAGTTTTTATTAGAACACTACATAATATCTATAGGCAAAAAATCGCTAAAATCGGAAAGGGATAGCTGAGAGGGTTCCCTCATTAGTTATATGTTTTGACTGTGAATTCTTTTCGTACACATAAAAATACCCGAAATTTAGAGAAATTAAGATTTCAAAGAATTCAAAAAAATAACGAAATTGACTTGCAACTAAAACCAATAACTTCAGTTTTTTCATGTGAAAATCTTACATGTTTAAGTGCTGGATCGAATATAGCATCCGTTAATTCATTTGTTGCTCGTCGTCGTAAGCCAGTTTGATAATCTCCCATATATTTAAGTATATTCATAAAACAAGAACATGCTTCTTCACTTAATTCTATTTTTTCTTGTAATTTTTTCAATAATGATTGTCTTAATGGTTCTTTTTGAAAGGCCCATAAACGATCTCCATTATTATTCATTCCAGCACGTCGTGAAAATGTATTTGACCATGTACGTTTAGGTGGTGAACGAAAATTTGTTTCAGCATATTTTTCTAATGTATAACCTTGTTCAGGTAAAAATTCACCATTATTATTTCCATTTAATGAAAATAAATGTTCATTTTGTGCTTGTTGTTGATTAACATCAGTCCATTGTAATGCAAATATTTGTAAAATATCTTGTGGTGGTTTTGATAATGTTGGTAATATATAAACGCATTCACTCGGAAATTCACCGGTTGAGCCTGTGCGTTCATTATGACCAAAAAATGTACCTGTTTGATTTGTACGTGAATCTTCTTCTAATATAATTAAATCACCACGACGTATAGATAAACCTTGTCCTGATGAATCAAAATCTTGTATAACAACAACATATTTTGATTTTCGTTTAAGACCATCTAAGAAATTAATAACTAAATCACGTATATCATCAGCATTATTTGATGTAAATGTATATTCATCATTTTTAATTGTTATTATTGTAAAACTATTACTTTGTTGTCTACCTGATGATTTACTACTAAGTACTTGAGTTATTTCAGGAAATGATAATTCAAGTAAAACTTGTTCTTGATCATCAATAACATAAACACCTGTCCAATTAACAGCAATAATAACTTCATTTTTTGGTAATGTTGGTCCTGAAAATTTATATGCTTCATAAAAACGTGAAAATAATAATGGCCATTTAAATCTCGCATAATTAACAACATCTTCTTTAACACGTAAAACTGATATCGAATCTTTTGCATTATTAAAATGACGTTTATGTGCATGAATAATTATTTGTAACCAACGTTCAGTTGCTTTATTTTGAACAAGTTGATTATCAGGAATATAATGAGGAAGCAATTCACGTAAACGATCAATATGCATTTCTTGACCATATTCAATATAGTATTGTTGAGCAGCTATCATTGCTAAATCATCATCTAAGAACAAGAAAAAAACTTTAAGTTTCTTATAACTACATTATAAAGTTTTCGAGATCAGTCCGAAAACCTAGTTTAGTCGGTTTCAGCATTTCAAACAGAAAACATTTTTTTTCTATTGACGGTTTATGTTTTGTTTGTCTTACTGCTATCATTATACCTACAGAAGATCTCAACACACTATTATATATCTCGATAAGCTTATAAACACTGATATTGATTATTTCTCATAGTTATAGCTTCATGCTTGTTGTTTTAATCATATAACGACGGTACCAAATTAATGTATCGCTCACTGTCATTTTTAACATTTTGAATATAAATTTTTATCTAGGCAAAAATCAAATATTGCACTATTTAGAAGATTGACATACATATTTCAGCTATTCGAATTTCGAGGAAGGTTTTAGAGAATGTTCTAGGAAAGACTAAGTTTTTTCCTCAAAGCACCTTTTCCGTTGCCAAACAACCCTAGAAAAGTATCCAATGGCCGTTGGCCTCACCTCCATCTTGTAGCACCGAAGGGAAGCCTCAAACTTACACTCACTATATGTTTCTTCAAAACACATAATGTGAGTTCTACGTTCATGACAATTCCCCTTAGATCTCTAAAGTACTTCGATTTACTCTTACTGAATATAAGTAAACCATTTCTAATTCTCATCGTATATTTATCGTAACAATCAAAAAAAAAGATTCGATTGTCAATTTAAAATCTTTGATATCGAGTAATTCTTTTTTTAGACTATAAGATTATTTTAAACTTAGAAAACTATGTAGATTAAAATTTTACCTTTTTCACATCGATATTCACCAAATTTAATTCCACGTACAACTTGTTGATAAATTAAATTCGTTGCTACAGAATCATCTTGAGGATTATGCCATGGTGCAAATATTTCTTTTCGAAAAAATAATCTCCATGGTGCTATTTTTTCTAGTGTACCTTGTTCTTTCGCATATTGTTCACATTGTGATATGGCATCCATAACATGATCCATACCAGAACCAAGTGATGAAACTTTATCAAATAAAGCAATATATAATGAAAAACCAAATTTATCAGTTAAATTAATTTTTTCAGCTAATAAATCACATAATTCACGTGCTGTTGTTGCTGAATCAGCTTTTAAAGCTTTTGAACTACCATCCATAAATGTTATTTGAAGTAATAAGGGTTCTTTATGTTTTGTTGCCTGAAACAAGAAAAAAATAACGAATAAATTAAAATTCTTTTTACGAAAAACAATCAAAGACTCTCTGCAACATGATAAAGTCAATAGGGGATACCAATTCTATGAATTCATAAAATGATCAGGGATTTTATGTGATGGATAATCTCTACAATTAAAGCTAGTAATTAAGATAACACGAATATCAATCAAATGTTAATATTTATGCTTGATAACAAAAATTTCTATCAGATACTTTAAGAAATAATATATGGCCGTCATATGTTAATCGAACCCATTAAAAAAATTAATGAAGGACTTCCTCACAAATAAACCTTTTAATTTCTCATCCGATTTCAACCAAGATAGTCTTTATATTGCAGATTACACTTAGGGCTACGTCTTTATAGAACCCGATTTTCAATCTTCCTTTATTTGTTTTTTTTTGAAGAAGCTTTTTCGACACATGCTCAAATTCGTGATCAGAAAATCATTAACTAAAAAAAAAAAGATCTAAATTTTTTATTTCAGCAAACGAGAAATTCAAATATCATGTTCTATTATGACTTAGCTCTAACTGTTTACTGTGTAATAAAAAAAATACCATTTTCATATTGAATTGTTATTAAGACTATTCGAAATAAGCCTACTTAAATTATCTAATATATTCGCACTATTCATCAAGCTTTATTAAATGACATATATGTGGACATATCATGCCAAAGTTGTTGGATGCGTGAGAGCAAGGTCAACTATGCTGTACTCTGAAAAAAGATTTTTCTCGCAAATCGACCAAAATAGGTTTATGAAGCTCGGAAACAAATTTTTTACTCTTAAGAAACGCGTTTAAACGGTTTCCGGAATGAGTCCAGAAACATATTTTGGTCAGCTTTCGAAAAAGTCTTTCATATGCCTCAACTGAGAATCTTCTGGAAAAGTTTAACCTTCTTATTGTTAAAAAATAAGATATGTCATCTTAAAGCCCATTACAAGGATTATCAGAATATGTATAACTCTTGAAAAACTAGTTTCTCTTAGGGGAGACTTAAGAAATGAACTAATAGTCGATATCCTATATTATTATTCAACTAGCTCCGAATTTATAACTACAAGATATTATTTTTAAAAGAAAACAAAATGTTTCTTAATATAGNATAAACGATTGTCATATAGGATTTTGAAGTATTTTTCACGGCCTATCTACTGATATATAATTCATTTGGTTTGAATTAAGTAACAAGTACATATATGTAAAACTTGACAACCAAAAGATGCCCCTATGTATACACAGAAAATTGAAGAAGTAATCGAATCCTGAGCTTGTAAATACCTAGCAAAATCATTTAAAAACCATAAGGTATACTTTCTACCATCATTTCCTTTGTTTCTACCCGAGCAGATCATTAAAATTCAATTGGGCCGATTTCTACAGAAATCGCCCCCCGTTCTTTGACCTTTACCAAAACTATTTTGATTCTAATGTTTATAAGTATAAGAATTTATCTAAACATGTTCATAAAAAACTTCAAAGGCTATGGAATATATAAAAACAACTTGGACTGTTTTGGCAACATTAACGTAAGGTTTTCGCACGAACTTTTGGAACACCTGGTATTAAAGTTACTCTTGATGAGTCATCATTTTATTGTTGATTATTGCCTACTTATATCTGTATTAAGGGAATTAGACGCATGTATATGAATTTTGTCTTGAAACTTAATTTTAAGGATGTTGCGAAGTCTGTTCGTTATGTACATCATGACAGAATTCAATAGAAGAAATTACTCGAAGAAAATTGATTTTAAATCTAAAGATTCAGATTATGGTTCCAATCGTCTGAAACAATAATATTAACACTACTCCTAAAATCTTGATCAGTTTTCCTATAGCAAAAATTTCTGAATTTTTTCCATACAACAATGTAATATTTTTATATTATTTTTGTAATTCAATATTCACATTGCTTAAACTACAATCTAAACAACTTACATCACCAATTTTACCGTTATAATTACCACTGGGTGCGGTCGTTAATTGTGCTCCAATGAAAATATTTGTTATCTCTTGCCACTCATCAGGCAATTCATTATCTGATTGTTCAACATTATCAAGAGTAAATCGTAGCTACAAAAGAAAAAAAAGAATTCGTTTTGATCTATTAGAATTATTTAGGAAAAATAAAAATTTGACTAAAATAAATATCAAACCTTTCGATTTAATCGCTCAACATATAATCGATGCCATTGTCCATTATTAATTAATTTTGTATCATTTTTTGTTGTTAAAATTATATCAGATGAATTATCTTGTGAGAATATAAATATCAATCTACCATTCTAAAAATTAATCATATGAAAAAGACTTTTTTTTAATTTAATAAAAGAACATACTTCAATATTAAATGTATAGGTAATATTCTCATTAGCAATACCAGCAAGAACAGTTATTGATTGTGATATTTGTTGATTTGTTAGAATAGAAAATGCAATTGATTCAATTGAAGTATAATATTCTTCATCAGTCATATATTTTGTAGGTACATTAATTGTTGATGAATATTCAATAATCGTCTCTGGTATTAAACCACTGCTATTGAATGAATCCTCTGTCAAAGCATTGTCTAAATTATCATTAAATATAAGCAATAAAAGAACAAACTGATTTTCATCGATTAACATAAAAAATGAATAGTCACTCTTCTACTTGAACTCTCAATTAAGAAGAAACATGAGCGAGCCATTATTTTAACTTTTATATAAATATTTAGTTTTAAGAGCTTACCAACAGTTAACGATTTATTGGACGATAATGTATCAGTATCATTAATATCATTATTTAAAATCCTGGAGTATTGTTCATCTTGACATAAATATAGTTTAATAAAAATTAAGATTGAAATAATACATAAAATTCTTTTTGTAGATTTCATTTTGTTTCAATCAAATAAATTTAAAAATGACAATTGTATTTATGGAAGTTGATATAAAACAATGAATTGATAGATGTGAAAGCTTCTATTAAGAGAAAGAAAAAAATATAAATGTATATTTTATCTCTCTATGTCTCTCTCACGCTCTCTCATTATTACTATGCTGGCTGGTCAATGACCATAATCCAAACGTTAAGCGAATGAAAAGGAAAAGATTTTTCATCCTTTCATATATATATATGTGTATATTCATACAAGTTATATACTCTCTGTTCAACATTTCTTTCTATATCGTTCAAATATATATATTTTTTTAGTCATTCATAATGAAGATGAATAAAGAGAAAACGAGTCAATTGTAAGTAATGGAGGATGAGAAATGACAAAAGAAAATTTTATCTTTCTGCCCTACACAGTAAAAAAAGACAACATGAAATTATTTTAGCATCACTTTTGAGAAGACAATGAACTGTTATAATTGTTTTGATGGTCAATAGCACAATATCGATTAATGTCTGTCTTCTATTGTGTATCGACAATATACTGAATATATATTTATGAATAGGAAGAATTAGTTGTTACTAGTTGATGAATACTTTGAGCTGTCTATTCGACCGAAAAACGAAAAAAAGAAGGAATAAACTATTTCAATCACATATACTAGGTAATGGTTCATGAAAGCTTCTACTCTATATTAACTCTAATCCTTCTCTCTTTATAGTTATACATACAATAACCTTTTTCGATGTCGCACCCGCTTTTATACAATTACATATGTATTCAATTCGAATAAAGTATATTCATATGTCGCATGATTAAGATAAAATTAAACTATAATGTAAGCTTTTTATATATATGTCCCTATGGCATACAATCAATTTTCTTATGTCAAAAAAAAGGAATGCAAACATATTGAACAAATTACATTAAATAACTACTAAATTCTCGATTTTTCTATTACGATATAATATTATGTAAGAAGATTTAGAAGAATGAAATTCCTTGATGATACAAGTCATTATTAATAACAAGCAAAATAGATCAACCAAAAATACATATACAATGTATGATCTCAGACATTGGCTAAATAAATAATTTTCTTTCTTCTCAAGTGAGCAATGCATCTCATTAAGTTTTTTTCTTTAAAGAATCTCATATGGCAAACAAAAACACATATTCGTCTGTTAATTGATATTGCTAAAAGAATATCGAATAGAACAACGAATACAATATACACTTAAGTATATAACAATTATTTTCTAATAATATTCAAAGTAATTATATACTTAAATAAAAATAGTTTCATTAAAATGTTATTAATAGATTTGACTATCGAAAATAATTAATATACATGATGTAATATTCTTAAGACTTACATATTTGATCATCTTTCATAGATTAATCGAAATATATTCTATACATCAATAGACTGTTATATTGATATTTACATTGACATTCATTCAAACTACTTGTTGTACCTCGTTTTCGACAGTTTAATAATACTTATGCATAACATTCGAATTGATGCTGAATTCTCTGCAATCAATATTATTCTCTTTCAAGAGAAAGAAAAAGAAATTTGAATATCAATCAATCGATTCTTCATAGAATCAAGCAATTAAATAAACACAAACATAAACTGATGTAACAGATGGATTCATGTTTTTTTTTTAATATAAATGATAAGAGACAAAAGCTAAAATCATTTATTGAATTTCGTTTATAAGAGATCTCAGTATAATATGCGGTATGAACAGATATGTAGGCAAGCATATAGGAAATTTTCATATCTTTCTTTTCTGTTATTATTGCATATTTGATACTGGTTCCAAACAAAATGACACAATCAGGACTCCTACAAATATCACTGTTGTATCGACTCCCTGTCAAATATACAATAATAATAATAGAAAAGAAAGATATGAAGTTGTTCTCTGTGCGTGCCTTATGATATGTACCCATACCACATAAATCCTGTTGTAAGAAGGCAACATTGCTGCGGAAACGTCAGGCGAAAATGATCTATTGAAATAAGTATTAATTGGTTTTTCGATAAAGTATCCTTGAATTGATCAAAAAAGACAATGAGACAATAATGATGATAAATGACAACAAGAGATAATGGTATATTATAAGAAAATTCAGTTAGATGTCATACAAAAGAAAAATCACAAAAATTTCGAAACCATAGATCTAATTGTAAAAATGAAGAAAAATTTGAAATGATTTCACTAGAGTGAATTAATGTATCATGTTTTCAATTTTTATAAATAGTCAACTGTACATAATAAAATCAAAATCTGTTGAATATTTAATAAGATTTTTAAAACAATTATCTTGTTGTATATGAATCAGAATAGATAGCGAAAAAAAAAACGATTATTTCAATTATAATTAGTCTATTTGGATATTATCAATGTACGTTTTATTTCTTAAGAAAATTTCATTTATTATTATATTTTATGTAATAATATTGAACCTATGTTAATCAGTATTAAATTGAAATGCTGGTTTATTATTAACTGGTGTAAAATTACCTTTAAATCACATGAATTTTTTAAAATTTTGATAGAAACTGAAAAATAAAAATGAAGTCTTTTAATTACATAATAGTTTATTTTATTTCTAATTTTCAAAAGGTGATAATAATTTCATTTAGGTTGTCCTTCTTTCATGACGCCTATAAGTTCTCGTATCTACCAAAATTAATAACAGGAAAAAACTCATTTATCAACAAGTCATTTTAATCAATGAAACTTAATTGTCGACAGTTGATTGTTTAAATTGTTATTTGATTTTCCGCTACGAACTAATTTATCCAGCAGTATTGATTGTATCTTTATATAGAGTTAAGGAAAATATTACGAACTTTTTATTTATTTCTTTATTTCATATTGTTTTCTTAACAGAAAGTATCTAACCATTTGTATATATCTGCTGAATGACATTATAGGATATAAGAGAAACGCCGCAAGTTGTCATCAGCTGTCAATGTCAATTACATGCATGTTATGTAGATTATCGTGAACAATATATACAATCAATATCTTTATTAACCGAATAATAAAGTAAACATATACAAACATTTATTTTGAGACTGTTTTGTTTTCAAACACTTGTCCTTGATAGACAAGAAAAAAAAGTTTGATTTATGATCTATAAGATGGTTTCATTTAGAAGGATATATTGTTATTTCTAACGTCATAGGCTAATTTACTATAAGAAATGAATAGCAAGGTTTAGCTAAATGATATAATCAATTGATTCTGTATTTTCAGATAAAGAATGGCCTATTAAAATTACTTATTTGGAATAAAAAATGAGAATTTTTACTACATTTTCATGCAAGAAATCGATTTCTTTTAGCTATTGATCAAGTAACCTTCATAATTCATATAAGAAAAATGTCAAAGAACTAATGCTATGAGATATTATCATTGATCTTAGTAAAGACTAATAATAATGAACAACTTCTGAATAATCATAAATGCAGTTTTCTCATAATGTCTTGTTGTGTACGACTGCAAATCTTTTTATGCATAGTATAACAAGATATGAACATGTAAGATAAGTTTCAGATCAACTAACAAAATATTTAAGGAAAAAAATTAGTTGTATTCTTTGTTTTCGAGCAGAAGAATAAACAAATCTTTTTATAACTCGTCAAAAATGAGAATTGTGTCTTGAAGTCAACAGTCACAGTGCACAATGAAATTTTCAATATTTATCTTAACAATAAGGTCGTCATGGCTCATTGGCTACGTTGATCGACACGTCCGCACAAAGTATTGTATTCAAATATTAATACTAACAACGATGAAATGAGCCTAAGAAAGTTATTAACGATTATTTGTCTCGGATCATACTAAGAGCTGTAATATATACATGCTTTTGTGGTTAGTTAGTATTTATGTAGAGGTAAAGAACTCTGTGTCAGGCCAGACTTCTGTCCAGAGTTGCAGATGGTTGTGGAAAATATAATAGGCTATTGAATCTTTCGCTAGACACCACTACATATTGCAAGATAATCGAAAGTCAGAAGTATTTTTCTTCCTCTTATGAATATCAACTATGTATACTCTTTTATCAGCGATAAAATAAACAACCGTTTGAGTTCTATTATTTCGTCAAATCTGTTCTATATAAAATGCCAAGTATTCTGTATGTATTTAGCAAAATTGAAAAGAAAAAAGATTATATCAGTTGGAAATTTAATATTTTGTCTTCACACCTAACACCTTTTAAGAGTGAGTTGTTAAATAAAGATATTTCATTACAATGAAAGAGATGAAATTATTCATTTAAAGGTAAAACTCAAAATTAAAGAAAAGAAAAAGTATATAATATATAATGATTGAATCTATTTAGTTTTCTTGTTGATTATATGAAAAATATAGGCACGAAGAAAAATTTTCTTTGTTTTTTTTTTAAATATAACTGTACATCAATAATACCGATGCAACAAAATGAAAGAAAATAAAATCTATAAAATAATACATCCTTTTTTTTTCTTTTGTTCATTTGTTAATTTATATGTATTTGTATTCGTATTTATATTTGTATTTGTATTTGTATTTTTATTTGTATTTGATAATGATGTATGATCTGGTCTTCTACTTTGTTGACTTTGTATACCAGAATTTGAATTTATATTTCGTTCATTATTTGTATTTCGTGTTTTGTTATTATCAGAAGTGTTATTAGGTGCACTTGTTCGTCGAGAACCTTTTCGATTATTCGTTGTTGTAGTATTTGCCTTTTCTTGTTCAAATGTACCTAATAATTGATCACGATACGGTGTGTCATGTTCGCAATGAAAAGCATTTTTTTGTCGACAAAGAGAACAACGAAAATCGTCACGTACAGATGGTAAAGCAGAATATGTTGCCATTTATTTTTGTAAATAGAAATAATTAGACGAAGAAGAAAAAGAATGAATCTAAAAATATTTCTAAATAAAATATGTTTGACAATTTATCAATGTTGTTAATGGAGACACGAAAGACAAAAAATGTTCATTATGATATTAGGAAACATATATGTCTTGCACGACGAACTTATTTTTTCGGGTTCGAATTGTTCTACAGAATTCATGTAAACACTATTCAGTATTGAAAAATTTGATATATAATTTAATAAGTATCTTTCGTATCTATTTTACATAAACAGCGTACTTAACTAACGGATGAATAATGATACTACTAGTCAACAATGTTCAATAAATGTGAAAGATTTTATTTTTAATTATGTAATAGAGTAAAGAGAAACAAAAGATTTTTTTAATATATTAATATTGGTACTATCATTAAGTCAATCATTATGTGAAGTTTTTCAAGAATAAAAGAAATCTTATTAGTTTGTTTGAATTTTGATGTATGCACTTATGGTGTACTGTACAATTTTTCGACAATGAACAATCATTCAATACTCTTAATAAAATAATTGTCTTATGGAATTTGTGCTCCACGGAAGACTCTTAAGAATTCATATGACTCCGTCAAGCTTCTTTTTAACAGTATCATACGCAATCCGAAAAGTTTCGTTCACCAAACATAGGATTCGTAAAATACTCGTTTCTTTTTTTGTTGTTTGATAGAATTTACTTGTAACAATTCTTTGCAGTCTTATTCATAAAAACAAAAATTATTAATAGCTTTCTTGCTTACTAAATTCTTCTATGTAGATTTATTTGTACTAAAGAAGAAAAAAAAAGAAAAGTAAACTTCAAGAACTATTTGAATCCCTTCAAGCCATTGTATTAGTTACAACATATGAAATTCTTTCAAAATTTTTGCCTATCTACTCTATTGTTATATTATCATTGATTTAAGATACTTAACAATATGTTTTATTATAGGATATGTAAGTCTTTTTCAGAAATGTGACGAAGTAAAATAACTGAGAGTGCAATCAGTACAAATCAATCTAAATAACGCGAATGAAACTGAAAACAAAATATATTATCTAAATCTCCTCTAGGAAGTGGAGAGTGGAGAGTGCACATCTCTCTTCTCGTAATAACTATATTAGTGATCTTTTAAGCACTCACCGCTCTTGAGTATATGTAATGGCATATATTGATCTCTATTCATTTATTTTTGATGTTGAAAAAGAAAGAGAATAAAAGAATTGTAATGTTGAACCAACATCTTTAACGATTCTTTTACGATATTTTTTTTCTTTTTAATGCTACTTTTTTTTTTTTTTCTTTCATACAATTTTTAAATAGGTAAACGTATGTGTGACACATGCTTTTTTTCTCTTTTATTCATGACATTAAAAAAAATTTGCTACCCAGACAACCGATCACAACAATATGTTTAATAGTGAATCTATCAAAGAAAAAAAAGCAATTCACACACATAATTACATAGTTACGTTTACATTTATATAGAATTGATTAAATTCTTTTCTGATAAACTAAAAATAAAGAAGATAAGATATAAATAAGATGAAAATGCTTTGTTTGGAATTTTTTTCAACAATACGTTGCTATCATGTTAAGTTACTATTGACAGATTAGATTTCATCAAATTATGTATGTTATTTCATCTTTAATATTGGTAAAGTCCATTATATATTTAAGATTTTTAGATATCGTCTCTTATGAGAATATCCTGAAGCATCGATCTTTGAAAACATTTCTTTTGTAGTTTTGCAAAAAATAATACAAACTGATAGAGATCAAATTTGTGAACAATAAGTGTTCCATGATTAGTTCGTAGAGTTCATTCGTAACATTTCTTGTCAAGATCGAAATAGCACTTCAGCGTCAAGCGTTATAATAAATATAAATATAAAATATACTTTGTAACTGAATAATTATTATTAAGTAGATAACAGAATAGAATTATCAATATTGATGATGAAAGAATCCTTTGAGATTTCAAGATAAAACTAACAAAATTTAATAAATGACTTCACTGGAAAAAAAAAGAGATTCTTATTTCCAAAAACGATTTATTCTTCGAAGTGAACTCTCATCGTCATATCATGCAGAGCTAATGTTTATTCTTGACTATCACTGTATGAGCTTTTTGTTAATATGTATATATGTCATCTTTGATCTCGATTTTAATCTTTCACAAGCATGCGCCTGACACGTGTTTGTATATATATGTTTGTTCATCAATCACAATAGTGTAATTCTTCTTTCATATTTAACTTCCGGTAAAGAATATGTATATTTATTATCATGATAGCACTTAGCATAATCTATCTCTTTTTAGCCTCATCATAATATTATATTGAAAATCAAGTAGATGATTATTATTATAATGAATGAAAAAGAAAATCTTATTCGAGATATTGCTCAACATCTTCGTAATACTGCTGATAGAATTGATCAAAATCAATCAAATTCATTTATATTTCAACGTTTTACTATTCTTGTTTTATTCATTAATGTATTATTATAATTTTTCTATATATTGTAAATAAATAAATCAATAGATTTCTATAATAAAAATCAAAAATGTTATCTTCCTATTTCGATATACGTAAAACTAAAAACACATCTAATTCTATTATCAGTAAAAGAAGAGAAAAGTACAGGTAAAAATAAGTACTAATCTTCTATTTGCATATGAAGACTAACAAAGGACAAGTTACATCGTTTGTACTCATTTGTTTTTTCAACTAGACATTATCGAAAAAAGTCTAATGTTTCTTGTTATAATACTTTTGTTAAAAAAAATCATTCCAATTAGCACCATCTCTTATCTCAGAAAAGAATAAAGGCTTTGAGTACTATTAATATGGCTGAAAGATAAGCAAATGATGTTATCGGTTGAGTCATATATATAACCATGTGCGTTCAAAATCAAAAAGTAAATAAAAGGTAAAAAAAACTCATATTTTTATTTTTATTCTTTGTTTGTAGATATTAATTTTGATAAATATAACTTATGGCAAGTTCATCTCCATTATCCGTTAAAAGTGAACCAAGAGATATATTATATACTGCTAATGAATCAAATTCATCCAATACATCTGCATATGATACATCACTTGACAATACTTCACCAGATCAAAGATATCCAACAACATCATCGATTTTTATTGATGCACCAATAGTACCATCAAATGATACATCATTTGATATTTTACAAGGTTATTCTGCACCAACACTTCCTGTCTATATTAATATGGGTTTAAATGAACATCCTGATGATGTAAATTTTGTAGGACCTATAACAACAACTGATCATCCATTATCACGTTCATTGGCAGCTATTGATGTTGATCAACCATTAGCTTCGACAACAATTCAAAGACATAGTCATCATCATCATCATCATTTTCCACATCATCAACAAAATCGAAATCGTTATCCATATTTACAAAGACCAATTATTTTAAAAGGATTTAATCGAACACAAATTCCATCAAATAGTCTTGATAATTTATATTATTATGAACAACGACCTGCTTTTCGACGTTCTTATTTTGCTTTAAGAAGACAAAGAATACCAAAAGGTATTAGATTAATAAATAAAATTATATTCGAATTATTCGCTGTTTTTTTTTTTTGTAGCTCCACCAATGCCAAAACATTTATATCCTGGTTATATACAAAAGAGAACAGAAAGATCAACAATGAAAACTACTGGAGATGAAAATACAACTGAAGAAGAAGATGAAGAAGGTAAATTGTTTTTGAATATCATTTGATTTCTTGTGGTATTCGATCATTAAGTAAATATTTTAATTGAGAGTTTATATTATATAAATCATTTTCCGGTTCGAAATTTTCAAGTTCAATTATATCTGTATGTAAACGATCAACATCTGTAACCATAACTGTTGGTAATTGTATTGTTTTTATTGATGATTGTGATGATAAATATGTTGTATTTGTCATTTGACTTAAGTTTGTATTTGTTGAAGTTTGAGATAATTGACGTTTTAAATTAAATTCATCAATTGACGATGAAGAATTATTTAATGGAATGATTAATGAAGATCGTCGAGTGTTTTGATGAAAGTTTGTTTGTGATGAAGATAATGTTGATTGACAATAAGAAAAATTTTGACATGTAGGATAATAAAAAAATGATGTACTAAGATTACTCGATGAGGTTAATGTTGATTGATTATAAGGTAGATTAGAAATTTTGGTTGAATTCGAAAATGTTAATTCATATTGTTCTTCAGATGTTCGTTGACATGTCGAAATAAAATTTGTTTGTTCATGAAAAATTTCCGATCGTTTCGATATCAATGAAACTGATGCATAAATACCTGTTGGTTCATCATCATTTTCATCATTATCAGATATATTATCTTCTTTTAATACTTTTTCAATAGGTATCAATAATGATGATGGTAATTTTAATAAATAATTATAATAAAAATATTTTAAATGTATCTTTTTTTTAATATGTCGATATGTTTGAATAGATAAAAATATAAATCCAATAATCAACCAAAGAAAACATATTGACCCAAATATAATAAAAAGACGTTTAAATAAAACTAATTGGTCTGTTGTGTTGACTGACATGGTCAATACAAAGAATTATCATTTTAATGAAACGATGAAAAGAAAAAGAATTACGATGATTATGCGTCAATATCTTCGAGATGTCGATTGAAGAATTACGATTTATTATTTTCTTTTCGGATAGTTTCTCGTTAAATGTAGATGCGCTTGTCTATCGTTATTATAATTCGTCTTTTCTCTCTATGCTTCATGCTCTATCTTCTTGTTCTTGGGTGGAGAAGAACAAAAAGAAGCTTTTGTTCTAGATGGATGTGAGTAAAGAAACGGAAGGAAAAATTAGTGGTCGGGCACGCATTGAATAGAATGAAGCGCTTATAATCATTCGGACCAACGTCATTGTCTCATATATTCTCACATAGACATATACCGAATTGAACAACCATATTCATTATACAAAAAGTGAATTATTCGTTTTTACTATTGTTCGATTAATTCTATAGATATCTATTCACACCTGATCATCAATCAGTTTTAAAAAAATGTTTTATTTCTTGTTTTTTATTTTTTTATCTAATGATAAAATCATGCATTCAATAGTGTAATTTTTGTCTGTTATAGATCAACCACCATCAACAAGTTTTTGGATTATTCTACGTTTGGTTTTTTTCTTTTTTGCTATTGAATTTATGTATGCAGTTGAAACAGCACTTACTGTGCCTATATTAACTTCACTACGTGTACCCGAATCGTATGTTATTGAAGAAGTTTTTATTTTTAATTTTTATTATACTTCTAATTTTTATTTATCAAGATTTTATTCTATGGCTTGGCTTATAAGTCCAATTCTAGGATTTTTTCTTCAACCAATTGTTGGTATGTGGAGTGATACATGTAAATGTCGATGGGGTAGACGAAGACCATTTATTCTAGCATTTGCTATTGGTAAATATATTTAGAAAAAAATTATTCATACAAAAATAAAAAAAAGAATATTCTTTTTTAAGGTGCTTATATTGGTGTTGCATTATTACTTAATAGTCATGATTTAGGTGTAGTTTTTGGTGATTCACTGGACCCTACTACAGTTAGATTGTTAAATATTCATTTTATTTATTTTGTATTATTATTTTTAAGACTCCATATAAAGCAATTATATTAACTGGTATTGGTGTGACTTTTCTTGGTAAGAAAACAAAAAAGAATGAATATAATGTTCTCATATATCATAGATTATTTGTTAAATATAATGTAGATTTTTGTGCGGATAGTGCTGATGCACCTGTACGTGCTTATTTAATTGATACAACAAATTCAAGAGATCAAGAACGAGGATTTAATATACATGCTATTCTTGGTAAAGAAATAAATTGTTTTTAGTTCTAAATTTTTATTGTTCTATTTTTAGGAGGTATAAAAATCATGTTATGAAAAAAAAAATAAATAAAAAAGACACATGAAAATAATATTTATTTAAAATAGGGGTTGGTGGAGGTTTAGGTTTTATTGTTGGTGCTATTAATTGGCCATATATTCCAATGTTTTATAAAAATGATAAAAGTTCGAGAACTTAGTTTTTTTTTTAATTCTAGTGAATTCTTTTTATAATATTATAGATGCTGGTGAATTTAGTATGGTTTTTTATTTTGCTACTTTTTTATTTATTGTATGTTCAATATCAACATTAACAAGTGTTCGTGAAGAACCACTTATATCATCATCAGCAGTAGTAGCATCATCATCGCGTGACCATGGTGATACAGAAAATACAAATGATGATGAACAACGAGAAATAGAAATAAATGAAAAACGTCCATTACTAACACTTCGTCCAAATAATTCACGATCATATACTACAACAAATAAACCTGAACGTTCAACAGCAAATATATATTTGAGTGGTTTAAATAACCAAGAAGGATTCATTGAAATTGATCCAGCGACAGGTAGACATATACCACACGATGATGTTGAAGGAACAAATGAGGATATTTTATTACAAACAATGGAACGTTCACATCAACTTGTAGCTGCATCATTGGCGAGTGCCGATTCTTCGAACTCTGGTCCAATTCCGACTCAAGCATTCGAAGCTGAACTTAAACAAAAAGCAAAATTAGTCAAATTAGGTATTCAATCATTAATTTTAACATTTTCACTAATTTTTTATATTAATAAATAAGGTCTTATGCGACGTCCTGAATCTGAAGAAACAGATGATTATGATGAAAAAGATAGAGTAACAATAAAATCCATGATTATTTCAATGATTCGAGTATGTTTCTTTGTTATTATTTATTATAACATATATATTCATTTGATTAACAAGATGCCTTCTCGATTACGGAAATTAATGATATGTCAAGTAATTGGTTGGATTGCTTATTTTGCTACACATTTATATTTTACTGATTTTATTGCTACGGTAAAAAATCGAATATTTCTCTCATTAATTCTAATGCTTTCTTTTATAAAAGAAAGTATACAATGGTACATTGGATGAAAGCAATTCAGATGCCTTTGCTCGTTATAAAACAGGTGTTACAATGGGTTGTTGGGGTCTATTTTTATATTCAGCTAGTACTGCTATTTATGCTTGTACGTAAGAAAAATAAAACAATATGTTTCTCTTCTCTAAATAATGTATATATATATATATAATACTAGTCTGTTTGGAACGATGGTTAGCAGAAAAATTTTCTTTAAAAACCCTTTATTTTGTTGGTTATTTGGCATATGCTATTGGTTGTGTGATAAATTTTTTTGTTCCTCGTATTGCTGTTAATATTATTATGTGTATTACTTGTAAGTTTAGTTCTATTTTTTTTTTCTTCTATTTAATGAATTATTTTTTATTATTATTAAATTTTAGTTGGAATGTTAGTTGTATCATTGAATACTCTTCCTTATCATATGCTTTCACAGTTTCATGCAGATGAAACAGTTAGGTCTTTTTTTTATTTTAAGTTAAAAATAAAAATTTTTTCGTCTAGTATAAAAATAGAGATGGTTCAAAACGTGGTATTGGTGTTGATTGTTCATTATTAAATAGTTGTTATTTTCTCGGTGAATTAGTAGTAGCTGCTTCCTTGGGTCCAATATTACAACATACAGGTGTAGAATATTGTATGATAGTAGGAACTGCATTTGCAGTATTGGGTAATGTATTTATGTTTTTTTTGTTCTATTTTAAAAATTAATATAGATTTTTATGAGAGAATGATTTTTCTTTACATATATGTGATAGATCAGAGTAATCATTCAGATAATTAATTTGTGAATGAATTGTATTTTGTAATTCTTTTTGTAATATTCAAATAAAATTGATGTGATGATTATATAAAGTCAGTTTTCTTTTTTTGTATCCGCAATGATTTATCTTTTTATAATATGTATTGTTAATGTGTTATAATCTTTTGTTTTTTGTTCATTGTGTGTAATGAATTTTCTTATAAATATATTTATATGATCCAGGATTTTTTTTCATTTGAAATCAATGGATCATTTAATTTTAAAAACAAGAAGATCAATTTTATACTGAAACAAGACTTCGACGATTTATGTACATGTAAACACAAAGCGGAGAGAAAACACAACCCTAGTATTTCAAAGTACTGAAGTTGTATTTTCTCTTCCTTGTCCAAATATCACCTGGCAGTCTTTATTTGTGAAGAACTTTCGATATGAGTAATATAGAAAGTTGCGGCTGTCATTGTTCGCAAAAAGACTGTGTCATTATTCATGACTTTATGTACGATCTAACAATATCAGATGCTCTTATTTCCAGATGTTAAACTAAAATTTGTTTTTTATATTGTTGATTTTCTAGCAGAACAACTCACGCTGTGATTTTTCTTTGTAAGGAAAATTTTTCTAATTACAATATCTGTAGGTGCTGAAAGCATGAGTCCTGACCGTTCAACACGACCAGTTTGTGATAAATTTAATTGAATAAAAACGTTCTGAAAGTTTGTTTTGCGTTATTCTCAAAATCAATTTTTGAACAAAAAAAAACGAAGTTTTCTCGCAAATGATACATCTAATCGAACTCAAATTGTCTTTTACTGATTACTTTGGTGAAATTGAGGTGCGTGTTTTTTTTTGCTGTCTTTCCTACGGAATTAGACAGTCTATTAAAAATTAATTTCATTGAAAAAAAACACGTTTTCTGACGGTGCTTCCAGTATTTTGCTTCTGTTCAGCTCTACGAACGATATTATTGAAAGACCAAAAAAAAGCACGCACTTCGATTTGATTCTCGTTGTCATTAAGAAAATTGCAGCTCGAAAAAATGAAGTATAGAGTTTTGCGTTGATTTATCTGCTTTAAAAATTTCATAATATTTCGTCGTGCAGTTTCTGAGCAACCTTAGAAAAGATGAGCGAAGGAAGAGAATTTTTTTAATCTAAGAAATGCGTCGAATTCGAAATTTTAGTTGGCCATAGAAAAGTCGAAAAGAAAAATATTTGAAAAAAGTTATGCCTCTGGTAAATCCTGATTTTAATATTGTCTATAGTTTATTATTGGTGCAAATGCAAAACAATTGCTATTCAACGTCGTATAAATAATCATGGTGAATGATATTATAATGTCCTTATAAATGAAATAGAATATCTCGATGGTTTGTCATCTACAGTTGCTAAACAGAAAAAATGACATTCACTCTTTTTGATCTCTTGACTTGTGTCTGTTAGTGTCGTGCCAGGAATAAAAAATGCCTTTGTTAATTCAAATTTTAGATATTTCATTATGATCCGTTGAAAGAGTTTTAGATACAACACTAGACGATGAGAGCGTGAGTGTAGATCATTGGCACGCGAATCTAGTGTATTGCTTAGAATTAAACTTCTATGTCATTTTCAATGAGCTATTAGTTTTTTTTTCTGAAGTCCCTTGACTGATAATCCGATCATCACGCGACATTGTTGAATCACACATGAAATTAGACACAGTAAGATGGCTTCTTTCTAACAATGAAAGCTGCAGCTCTTTATATTATTCTTATCAAGAGTTATTCGCAAAGCAAATTTTGAACCACCTTTATTTGTTCTAACTCTTAGAATAGCGTGATTGTTGTTGAATGGTTAATTGAATGAAAAAGGCATTTTATTAATAATTTTAGGTTAAAAGATTAGATTATATTTTTGACTAGTTCATAGAAATTAATGAGAAATAAAATACCTATTAACTGTTTATGTTAAAATAAACCTGGGAACATGAAATACATATGGGAAATGATTTTCATTAGAATCTTGATAGAGAAAAAACAAGAGCATATCAGGTCAAACGTCAATAATTTTAACAGAACAATGACAAACGGGTCACGAAGCTTTCTAGTCATTGAAAACAAAAAAAAAAACAAAAAAAAAAGAAAAGGCTAAAAGCAAATTTTTTACTCTTGAATAATAAAAGTTCTTTGAACATTTGACAATAGAATCGGATATATTGTAATGATTATCATTAAAATACACATTTATTATTTGTTAACAGAATGCATACAAAAAGAAAAAGAAATCAATGAAGAAGAAAAAAGAAGAAAACAAATGAAGTTCATAAATAAAGTTTAACCAAAAATATTCTTTTCTCATATAATAATATCGGGAAAAAGAAAGAAAAAAAAAGAAACAATAGTTATAAATAAATCGATAGGATGTAATCTTAAATTAGAATCTAAATATGTATGAAAAAAAAAATATAATAAAAAAAAATTCATTTTTTATGCTAATGAATTTTTTCTTTTTGATGATTGTTGTACAATCATATAACTATTCATTAAAGAATTAGCTGAAAATAATTTATACCAACTAAGAATTTGTTGAGATGAATTTAAATTAATTTCTTTTAAACCTAATTGACATACACCCATAAATACTTTTCGATCTAATTTACTATAATCACCCCAAACACTAATCTATTAAAATAAAAAATCTTTATTTTTTCTTTAAATCTTTGGTTTTTTTACTTGTAAAACTTTGTCTCGAAAATTTTCTTTAAAAATAAGTGTTTGTTGTATAAGTGGATCAAGTGTACGACGTGTTGTTCGAGTACGTTGTTTTTCAATACATGTTTTTCCATCAAGTAAATATACTTTAACATAGGGCGCTATATTAATAATTAATTAAAATTTTATATTTAAATGCAAAGATCACAAACCTGGAGGTGTTTTATAGATGACTTTTTGAGGTAGATTTCTTGCTCGTACTATTTCAATTTCAAGTAAACCTTGATGATCACGAAGACCTATTTGAATTTCACCATGACATGGGGAAGCTAAAACTTGTCGTCCAACTAATTGTCCTGTTCCTAAACCTTCAATAAATTCACTAAATTGATGTTCATGTGGTAATTTAAGTGCACCAGACCATAATCTAGAAAAAAATCAAAGCAACAAAATTGAATCATATTATTATGAAAAGCTAATTATAAAGTATTGCATATGTTCCGTTGTATAAAATCTCTCCTATAGTGAATATAATTTAGTGGAAAGAATTCAGAATGTCAAAATAACCTAACTAAATATGAATAGTATCAATCTGTAAAACTTCTTAAATAGCATCTTAGGATAATTATCTCAATTCGATATAAGTCTTACTCAATATTATGAGGCATTGAATAATATTGATCACGTTGAAGAGCTCCATTAAATGGTGATCGAGATGAATCTGTTGGTGGAGCACTACTTGGTGTTTCTTTTTCTTTACTTATTTGTCGTTGTAATGCTCGATTACGTAAATGAGGTTGTACACCAATTTCTTCACTTCTTTGAAAACCATATCTTTTACCTATTAAAATTTAAAAACAATATTTTATTTAATATCTATATTAATAGATTGAATACAACCAATATTGGATGAACTATTTGCTTTTTTTGATAATCCAAGTATAACAAAAGCTTTTGATGACATTGATGGTCGTCGTTTTTTATTTGAATCTGTTTGTGAACTTAAAATTGAATCTGATACACTACCATCATTAGGTTGATTAAATTTAACTGTTTTCTCATTTGAAATTGGTTTTTTATTTATTTCATTGACTTTTGTTTGATCATCAATATTCGAATTTGTTAATGTATCATATGTACGCATAGCCATTTGTCGAAGTTCTTCTTCATTTAATTTAACTACATCATCATGACGAAAATGATCCTGTATACGTGTATGTACACTAAAGATAATTTTATAAATTAAAGAAAAACAAAACTAAACTAAAAGAAAAATTTTATACCTATGTTTTCGTGTAGTTCGAGGTCGTTCTGATTGTGTTGATATCATACTAGTTGAGCTAATTTTTGAAACTGATGATAATTCAGATCCATCGGAATCAACATCATCACTGGGTGTTTCCATAGAATCTATAATGAATAGAATTTTTTTTAAAATAATTAATTCAAAAAAAAAAAAAAAGAAATTTTTTACGTCGTTTTGTAATAGTTCTTCGATATTTATCTTCATATGGTTTTAATTTTGTTTTTTCAATATTTATTTCATCTTGTTCAACTATTGTTGTTCGTCTTGATAATGTTGAACTTGGGACACTTTTATCTCTTATTATTGGTATACGTAATGGTTTATCTTTTGAATTTATTGTTAAAGAAGCTTTTGATGATGATAATAGATTGTTCATGGATTTTCTTGTATTACAATCTATTCTTGATGTACGACCATCACACATTTGTCTTTCTATAGTATCTGTATGATCAAAACTACGTTGTTTTATTACAGATTTATCATTTCTTGATTGCGTATGAAGTTGTAATTTTATTTGCATAGCTTTTTGAAATAATTCTTGTGAAACTAAAATATTAAAAACAAAAAAAAAATAATGACAACTAAACAAAAAAGCGAAAACCTTTTTCTTCATGTCCATGTAATTTTACAGTTGGAATATCTGGTAATTGTCTTTTACGATTGTTAGCAGTTGATGGACTGCAAAATATATATAGACATTGATATACTATATATGATTGATTATTTCTTACATGGTTGTCGCTGGCGGAACGGTACGATTGAATAATGATCCTAAATATAAACAGATATTATTTATATGTTTTTAAGTATTTTGTCTTTAACAAACCGTTTAATGTATCATTTAAACAAAACCATTCAGGTTTATTACTTAAATTTAATTTATTAAATTTTATTTCTCCTAAAATATCTTGATTATGTTCAAGATTAATTAATTTAATCCACAATAAAATATTATCAATAGTCTCAATATCAAAAAATATTATATGTTGATTCCATACACATATACCAGATGAACATGGTTGAGCTTTTGTACATTTTTCTTCTTTTGATCTAAAGAAATTTGATTTAGAAAAATATACGAAATTTTTTTTTGTTTGAATTTTACAATGTATCACTTCCATATTGCAATGATAATTGACAAGCAAATAAACCTTGTTGAATCGGAATATTCTTAGCACCATATATCATAATATGCAAATATTTTTTATCATATTGAAATGAAAGCTAAAAACAACAAATAAGAAATTTGACTGCCCAACAATAAAAATAAAGAAGTCATGTACTTGTAATTGAATACCGTTATTCTCTATTGTTGATGATATTGTTTTATCTTCTAAAGGCAAAAAAAAAACTAAGTGTGATATGTGTTTATTTTTTTGTTGCAAGGAATCAGATATAATCTTTATATATATATATATGTTTGATGAACTCAACGGAAATGATATTATGATAATTATTATCATTTGAAAACATGACATTTTTCCAAAAGAACTATTCATGTTAGTACTTGTTGTGTTAATATCATTGAGCTCGATGTGAGTTGTAATGAAGTTCGGAAGAAAGATGAATGCCGTGTAACGGAAGTCTATTTTCTTTCTTTCTTATATTCTGATGAAAGTTGAGCGATGTTATTAAGAAGAAAACAAGGGGTGGGGGGAGGCAAAAAAGAAACAGAGAATTACTATTCATACGATAGAAGAACACGATAGATGAAGAAAGAATAAAGTACAAATCATTCTTTAAGAATGAGTATTTGTTCAAGCATTTCTTCACCATCGTTTTTTTTTTGTTTTGTTCTCCTCGTTGTCGTTCTTGTTTCCTATACAGTTCATTATGATTTTCCTTATTCTTAACGATAAAGGAAGGAAACAAAAACGACAAAGACACAAGTGTCGCACAATGTAACAAAAAAAAAAACACATTGAAAAACGCAACGAAATAGTTACTCTTAATTTATGAATTTTTGTTTACCTTGAGAAATTTGCTCATTATTTGACGATATTGGTTGTCTAGAGAGAAAAGATAAATTTCTAAAGATAATTGTTTTTTTTTTTTTCTTTTTTTCTAAATACCTAATTAATCTTTTAACAATCATATGAATTTGTGGAGATTGAATTGAATTTTGTGTAATTATTCTATTAACATCATTTGAATTAAGATTTGTTAATTTTTCTCCATTCCATTCAAGTATTTGATCACCTAAAAGAAGTTTAGTTTTTGGTTATATAATCCTTTTCGGGTGTTTTTTTTTAATACTATAAGCATACCAATTTGTAATTGTCCATAAGTATCAGCTATACTTCCTCGTATTACTTTTATAATTTCAGTAATAGATTTATTCTCAAATTGACTACTAGATTGTATTTTAAAGCCTAGTGCATTTAAAATATCTTCTCTATTTATTTGTTTTTGTTCATGTTCACAGGTTGAAAGATTATTTTTTAAATAAATATTACCAATTTGTTCAGTTCGAGTTTCATTAGAACACCAATATGTTATTGGCTAGAAGAAAATAAATAAAAAAATAATTTTTTGAATAAAATTTCTATTAAAATCTTTAACACATACACAAGACGAACAAAAGCGAAAATATAAAAAACCTTTTTAAATTGATCAGATGATATAACATTGAGTATTGTACTTGAACTAGCTGTATCAATTCCTGAATCTTTTAATGTTGATTCTTGACCAGATTCTCTTTCTTCAAGTGAATGATATTGAAAATCTCGTAAAATATTCATTGAACGTTTATCTTGTTTTACTGTTGGTAATAATCGATTTTTATTATCACATGTAGACATTGATTCAGGTGATGAAATATCATCATCATTAGGCATTATTAATTTTGGTAAAATACGTTTTTGATTAGCACCATATTTATTCATTTGATCTTCATCAAGTGTTTTAGATAAAATATAATCTGATAAATATTGTTTACAAATATTATTTGTTAATGAAAAATAATGTTCTTGCTTTTGTCGACATTGATTACAAACATAATATTGAGATTTTAAACGAAAACCACAACGTACACAAAAACGTTTTTGACATATTGAACATTGACGAGATGAGTGCTCATTAACAAATTTTGTTTTTTGACAAACTTGACAAAATACACCTGATTCATTTGATTGGGAATAATGACGAGAAGATATAGCTATTGGTGGAGAGGAATAATCGTTATCATGAGATCTAAATAAATGAAAATTCTTCGTTTCTTTTTTCTTCTTCTGAATTAATATTTAATTACTTAATTTTAAATGTATCAAGTTTTTCTTCAGCTTTTTGACGATTAATAACAGCTTCGATTATTTTTTTTTCATCATCGGTTAAATGACTTAAATCAGGTGCTATATCCATTAAGAAGATTTTTTTTTCAAAGATTAAGCATCTTTTTTGATGGAGTCTAAAATAGAAAAAAAAAAGAAAATGAAATTATAATTTATTCAAAATTATTTTTTTTTTATAAATTATAAATACCATAACTCCTTTGAAACAACAAGGCCGTAGTTGTTGACCTCATTTTATTTGTTTTTTGAATAGTCCTTTGGCATTTTAGGACATCTTATGATCTATAAAAGATAAGAAATTTGTTCAGTGTTATATTAAATCTCCAGAGATCTCCAATCAGTTTATATTTGACATTGAAAGCACAAAGGCTTCACCAGCCATGTTCAGCATACTACTTCCTGTTCTTGTCTTTGCTTTTATGTTCACCCGCTAGTTTTTCTTGTCTGTTAGCTTTATTTCTATTGGTTTAAAAATCCATTATTCTATATTATTTTCCTCCTATTTTTTTTCTATTATGTATGAATATACCCTTTTTTTAAAATTAAACAATTGTTTCCATGAAAACTAAAATATATAGTTGAAGGGGTCTTTTGCAAATATAAAAACAATCAAAATATGTAGAACGTGTTTTATAAAGAAATTACCAAATTTAGACTTGCAAGCTCGGAAAAAAAATTAATTAATTGATGAATACAGAATATAAAATTGACTATGATACGTGACACTGAGATTATTAGGAAAATACCAGTTAAAACAACTGAAAAGAACCTATGAGAAAAAAAAGAAATGATTGTCTCTCTTGTTGTAAATAAATTTAAATAAATCACATATTATTAATCAATATACAGTTAAAGATAGAAGAAAATCCATTGAATAAAGGACATGCTTGATAAGCAATGTTGATTGATTTGTTGATAAAAATCATCGATTATAGCTTTTTCATACATTAAACAAGAGCAAAAGGTCAAGTCATTATTGTTCAATAAAATAAGTGGCTGAATAAAATTTATGAATTTACAAAAAAAAAAACCTTTTTTCTTCCATATTAAAATCGAATTAAACAATACGATTATCTATATAATTAGATTTGATATTAATCTTTTCATTTTGTTTTTACATGCATATGAATTCACATGTTTTCTTATTCCTTCTTTTTTCTTGTTAATCACATATTTAGATGTCCAAATGATTCATCATAATTTTATTTCTCACCAAACAATCCGATAAATCGAGACAGTTGAAAAAAAAAAAGAAGAAGAAAAAAAAGGTGAATGTACATATAGGACGATATCCAATAGCCTAAATAGATGTGACACGATAATATCACCTATATATTCATTCGGCTTGTCTGTTTGTTTTCAACATACCTTCAAGCAATGGCTTTTTCGCTTTTATTCTAATGTGCACGTTAAATATATGCGTATATTCATTGACTGATGACTATCCCCCATTCACCTATCTATTCATTATTATCTCTTCGACCGGTGAAAAAAAAAAATCCATGCTTGAATGCATCCAATATTAAAGCTGGTTGACTTGAGAGACAGAGAGAGAGAGAGAGAAACAATTGTTGAAACGAAAAAAAAAGAAAAAAAAAAACGAAACCAAACTACTACCTATAAATACAAGTACAAATACATTGATATACATGCATATATATTATTTCGAAAAAACAGTAAGTTTAATAAAACGAAAGCATTATTCAAAGAGATTTTGTGATGTTGGTTTTTAAATTCACATTCTCTTTCAATAGTGCCTTTGTCGATATATAAACTACAAACATAGCTATATATCAAATAGATTAAATAAAATGAGTTAATGTAGTTTTGTTTTTCTTAGAAATTAACATTTGATATTATATCACAACGAACACAAAAGTATGTTTAGATTCAATTGTCTTCATGAATTAAAACTCCACCAAATGTTGTATAACGCCAACCATATAATGATGTTTTAAAATTATAATCTCCATCTTCACGTGATTGAGCTCGAATATAAACTCGATCACCTTTATTTAAAAATAAAATAATTGTTGTTGATGCTGTATTCCAAACAGGTACTTTTTGATTTTTAACAGCTGTTAAATAACCTTCAACCCATAATGGTACAACATTTTCGGCATTTTTACATAAAGATACAGATGCCTAAAAATGAAAACAAAAAGAAAAAAAAAATCAAATTCAAGTACAAAAGAAAAAGAAAAGAAAAACAACATACAATATGATTAGCTGGTACACAAACAGTTAAACTAAATTCATATAAACCATTTATTGGTGCATAATAAATACCCGTATTATTATTAAGATTATTGTTTTTATTTAATAATATATCATCCCAAACGATTATAGATGAATCTGATTGTAGAACATATGTATTATTTAATGCAACGAAAAATGCAGATTTTATGTTTGAATAACCATCACGACCTTGAAAGAAAAAAAAAATTATTCAATGCGAAAAATATATGTGTGTTACCTGGTGGTCCCGGTAAACCTGGTGGACCACTTGGACCTTGCATGCCTTGTTTGCCTGGTGGACCAGGTGGTCCTAAAAAAGAACAAAAAAAAATTTCTCTAGTTTCAATTTTTTATCTTTTCTTGAAAATACCTACCAGCTGGTCCTTGAATATCAAGTGTAACTCGATTTCTTGCATCTAAAAAAAATCATATTTTCATCATTGAATAAAATTTTGTTTTTTAATTTTCTTACTTGGACAATTTATATGTAATTTACATTGATTAGCCGATGATCTTGATCGAGTACCTCCGTAAGATGATGCAATTGAAGAATATGATTGTTGAGAACTTGGATACAAATCGCTATCTGGATTTCGTTTATTTAAATAAGGTGAAGGTGTTTGCACTTGTTTTTCTTGCGATTGTGCTTGACGATATCCGTAATGATCATACGATGGTCGTAATGGATATGCATAAGGATTAGGATCATTTGGTGGTACAGCTGGATCTGCTATAATTGCCGATAAAGTAAGAAATTCGAAGAATAAAACGTAATAAAACATTGTTAACACTGAAATATAAAAAAATATAAATAACCACAACAAGAAGAAGATTGACAAATTTATAAGTTATGCTACTATGAGTAGCGTGTGCAACACAATAGGTGGTCGATGAATGTGTACGTTTGTAATCAAAAGATGAAATCAAATGATGTAAAAAAAAAAAGAATTTATATGGAATGATCGTTTAAGTTAAAAGATACGTTGAAATTCTTTCTTTCTTTCTTTCTTTCTTTCTTTCTGTCTTATTATAAAAACTACGAGCTTGTATATATATATATGTGTACTATAAATTCGTGTATATATATATATTCATTTGTCACAATTGCTAATTTATATTGACATACAAACACATTTGCTTACTCTGTAAAATAACTTTGGCAAACATGAGAAGTCTACTTTATTTCCTGTCTATAAATAGTCAGTTTGATTTCGAGAAAATGTTTACAAAGAAAGAAAAAAAGAAAATTGAACTAGAGTCATACATATAAACACTAAACCTACTTGATCAATTATTGAACAAAATAAGAGAGACCATAATGACTTTAAATATTATTTTTCGTATTGACGTTATTATACTAAAGGGAACGATTGAATCGGAATGTGAAGAAAAAAAAAAGAAAGAAACCTGAAAAAGAAAAATCATTGTCTAGATCTAGAGAAGAAAAAAGGTGTTTAAGATCGATCTTTTCCTCTTCTCTTCTCTTTCTAAGTCCATTATAGTTCAATAGGCAGCAGAAAAACGATGATTGGAAAAAATAGAAAAAAAAATAAATGTAAATAATACACCTTTATTCTCATCATGTTGACTTCCGATTTCTGAAAAACTATTCTCTATATGCGTGCTTTTCTCGCGTAAATTGCTAATAAGTCTATTAACGAGATTTGATATGAAGGAAAAAAAGAAGAAAAGAAATCGAAGGTCAATTCTACATCGGAAGATTACCAACCGAATTCCTCTTGTAGAATAGATCGTTATTTCTTTTTACCCTTTATTTTGACAAGAATATATAGACATAATAAATAATGCGCAATCACATGTTACTTTAATGGCATTAAAATTAATAGTGATTTCTCTTTCACTTATGGGCATTCGTGTTTGTTAATTAAACTATATCGAACGATAAAGCATCCGAAAAAAAATGCCATCTTAATGAGTAGAGGATCTCTTTTAAATGCTACATGTGTTCTCTCATCATAAATTCCTCTCGGCAACAGAAAAAAAAAGAGAAACGGAAAAAAATAATTTTTCCTATTGTATTCATTAATCTATTCAAGGACAAAAGCATCTGTTTTTTTTTCTAATATATTTCAATGTGTAAGAAAAAAAAAAGAATCCATCGAATAGTTATGGAAAAATCATTATTAGTAGAACGTCAATTCGTTTTTTCATTATACATGAATAATTCATTAATAATAAAAAAGAAACTATTTTGTTCTTTGAACCGAATAATCATAAAAGAATGTTTATCGAGTTTGTAGAGGTTTTTTTTCTTCGCTTTTAACTAAAGCATGGTTCAATACATTCGCGCACGAGTCGTTCAAGATAATATTGATCGATATCATCAAAATGAGCTTCATATTCACTATCAATATCCAATACGCCTAATACTTGTGCATGTTCATCATTGGATGACCCTCGAATAATGGGCACTACAATTTCAGATAATGAAGCCGATGAGCAAGCTATAAGAAAAAAAATGAATATTTTAAAATATAAAAAAATGTTTATTTCATACCAATATGACCAGGAAATTGATGAACATTTTTTACGACAATTGTTTTACGTTGTCCCCAACTTGTACCACAAACACCTTTATTTAATTGAATTCTGGAACAAGCCAATGGACCCTTTGAAAACAAAAACTAATCATAAACAAAAACAACTATCTTTTATTTCATAATCTTACTTGAAATGGACCGAGTATCAATTGATTATCTTTAACTAAATAAAATCCAACCCACCAAAATGAAAATATTTCTTTAAGAACAGCACTAATATTAGCAAGATTTGCAATTAAATCTTTTTCATATTCAATTAAATGTTTTATTTCAATTATTATTTTTTTATATTTTTCTTCTTTTGATGCATTTTTATCAATATTGTTTAGACTTTCAGGCATGTTTTATTATCTAATATGGCCTTTCATACACATACACACACACACACACACACATAGTTTTATCATTTCTTTTGTAAGCACGAGATAAGAAAAAAACAAGAAAAAGGTTTTTATTCATTGGATGCATTTCTATGAAATGATTTTATTTGTAAGTCAAAATCTAGATTTAATTTTGTTCTCGTTTTTCTATATGAATCAGGAATTGAACATGCAGTCAATGGTCTTTGATAATGTATAACATCCTTATTCGAAGTAGTTTTTTTCAAATTATTATTTGTTGATGTTGTTGCTATAAGTGAAGGTTTAGATGTTTGATTAATAACTATAGTCGCTGTTGGTGGTACTCTCATATTTTTTGTTATTATCATACTGTGTGAAGTAATGAATTTTGTTTCATTTTTATTTGATATTGTTTGTAATGAAAAATTTGACGATTTTTCAATATGTTTAAGATTATTTATTTGTTTCTCACTGTTTTCATGATTTAAAAGTTTTGAAGTTAATTTTTGTGTTGTTAAACGATTTGATAATAAATCTGTTCGATTCGATATACTTTTTCCAATAATATATGATGGTAAATCACTAAATGTATTTGAACGATGACGAAAAAAATTATGACTATTAAAATGAATACGTCGTTTCATTATTATTGATGGTAAAGATAATGAACGTCTTGCACGATGAATAATAAATTCATCGAATAAGGAATCATTTTGATTTGAATATTGAATATAGTCTAAACTTGAATGACGTCGAATATGTGATAAAGATGTTATTATTATTGGTGCAAAAATTGGAATGAATGATGAAAATACTGATTGATACTATGGAAAAGAGAAAAAAAAAACACGGCTCAATTTTGAAAGCAATATATTAGTGTGTGTGAACGGCATTTGTTTTTTCTTCCTTCTTCAGCTAAGATTCAAGTAGTTCTTTTCAAGTATCATTTAAAATATATTTCAAGAATAAGAGTGAAACAATTTCAATGAACACAATTGAACTCAGCTTTTTATATGCTTTTTTAGTTCATAGAAATACTTGAAACTTTATTGTGATCCGACTTTTACATTATAGAATATAGTCATCGAAAAGTTTCTTTAGCATTAAATCTGTAAGTAAAAACTTTTTTCTTTTCGTCGAGATCGATTTATCTATTTCGATTAGATTTGTTTTAATAAAAATCCTCAAAAGACTATTCTTTTTCATTGAACATACATATAAAAATAAAGAATCTTTCTAACAAAATATAGTGCTGATTACACATATAAATTGATAAACGAAGTGAAAGAAAGAACTCGTTTATCAATAAGCAGGATATTGTGTAAATAGGATAAAGCATTTTTTTTTAAAGAAAAAAGAAGCGTAACAATGCAGGAAAGGGAAAATAAGTGTCAAGAGGTTATGCGCTGATGATGTTGGTGGGAAGCATCACGAATAATGACGTTGCCGGAAGTAGGGTCACGCAAACGCACTACTGGTTTCATATGATGAGGTTTTTCGATTTTGTCAGCATATTCACGAGCCTAAAATATATAAAATAATTATCCTAATTTAAAAGAAAAAAATTCATTCAATCGAATATATATCAATATAGAGAAATCAAATATAAACAAAATAAAGACAATACATGTATAGATAATTACTATAGCAAGTAGATAAGCAAGCAAGGAAGTAAATATCTTAATGAAAACTACTTTAAGCGAGATATATCAATTGGAATATATATATATATATATAAATTAAGCAGATGAATACTGAAATACTCTATTTAAAGAACATTTGCACTTGACATCGTGTTCATATTTGATCATTCGTTGAAATTCTCTCAGCTTTTGTGTTGACAAAACGTGATCTCTAGTTGCATGTAACTGTAAATATGTATGATTATATATACGAACAATAATTAGTTGAAAAGAAAAAAAATATTATTTTAAATAGTTCATTCTACTAAATAAACATAACATAAAATAAGTTTCATACCCGTTGATATTTAGGTATGAGTGCTGGACGATCTTTTTTGTATCCATTATTATTTTGAATACGTTTTTGTTCTTCAATCTTATATTGATTTGTATTATGTACGACTTTTGAATAATATTTTCTTCGATTTTCAGTATCAATCTAACATAAAATAAAAATTTATTAATAAAAAAAAAAAAAGAAGAAATTTCAGTCAAACTTTATCTTCGTATGAATGATGATCCGTATTTCCAAAAGCAGGACCAAAACCACCATTTCGTGCGAAACTTCTATACTCATTCACAACTGATTTACGACCCAATTTTTCGTCTTGTAAACGACGTTGATGATGTTTATATGCGTTTGCATAACTACCTGAATTAAATGACAGTTAACAGGTTTCTTTAATAATCAAAATCATATTTTATTTTATTTTTCTTCTTACTAACCAGGATCAGGCGCAGACAGTCCATACAGATAATCATGAACATTTAAATTATTTCCATCATTACCATGTTTACTTTCATCGGAATGTTCATAATATTGACTTGATATAGGTGTTTTAGATTTTTGTTGAGATTTATGTGGATCAGGTGTATGAGTATAATGTGTATATGAAGGTGCAAAATTAGAATTTCGACTGTTTCTTTCAGATAAATTTTCATTGATAACTGTTGATGGTGTTTGACGATTATGATCAATTATTTGTACACGTCGTTTTTGATTTATTGGTGGATGATTATTTTGATTATTTGTTGCATATGTTAATCCACGATTAACCATTTGAGTTTTTGATTGACCATGATTAGTAGTATCATTGTAAGATTCATATTCATTATTAGGATGTACACTAATTGTTAAATTAAGACCATCTTCTGAATTAGTATGAACACCATATAGACTATTTGGTTTTTGATGATAAGGAGGACCAGATTGTGCAGAATGATCTCCAAGTGTTTGATAATTTTGTTGTGAAGGAATAATAGTTGGTCCTGCTCGTGGATAACTTGTTGATACAGGGTAATTACGACGAATATTTGTTGAAGGAACATACGAAGGAGTATATCGTGAATTATACATTGTATTATTCCATAATGTCTAAATAAATGAAATGGAAAACTAGTATATATGTGTAGTAGCGGATATAAGTTTAGTGCAGTTGTAGTTTTAAGTTTTGTTCTCGATGTTAATAGTTAGCAAGAATCTGAGAAACACATTTGTACAGCTAAAAGGATTCTCTGTTAGAATTGATAAGTCAGATGACTTTAGTGAAACTGCTTGGATGAAGATCTGCGGAAGACTGAGACTTCTAAATTCAGTTTTCTGGCTATTATTCGAAGCTTTTGGAAAAAAGTTTTATTTGATAAATCAAGACGAGACGCCTCCGATCTCTTCATGATCTTTCATTATCAAATTATATTTGATTTATAGAAAGCCGAAAAAGTGTTTTTCTCTTGTTATTGAAACTTTCAAATTTTTTTGTCTCGTTTCACAGTTTCGCTCGGAGACGTCTCATTTTGCTCTGTCAAATAAAATGTTTTCTCAAAAGCTCGGAATGATAGTCAGAAAGTCGGTTTGGGCGTGTTGATTGTCTGCAGCCTCTTATCGCAGCAGTTTTGTTAGAGTTTTCGAGCTTATCAATCCTAATACAGAATCCTTTTAAGTACACAAATCGTTTTTCTGATTCTTGCCAACTATTACCATGGAGAAGAAAAATTATAAATACAACTGCTTGAAATTCATGTCCATTATTATATAGATTAGTGGCTATGCTCGCATTGACGGAAAAACTGATGTTAAAACTCGATCGAGTTTGTAGATCGATATTGTATTCAGACGCTTATCGATCAACTGATAGGAACCAATGAAATTTCAATTAATATAATTATAAATGAATAAATTAAGTAAAAATTCGAACGTTTATGGACAGTTTTCTATTGAAGTAAATTTTGTGTAGAAAATTGTCTATAACTTCACGAATTCAAACTTTAATTTATCGATTGATAATTGCATTAATTGAAGCATCGCTTCTCCCTCCAGTTTATCAATAAACATTCAAATACAACACCGATCTAGATACTAATGTTGACACTAGAATTGAAGAAGGTTAGGTGTAAGCTCAAAAATTCAGCAATGGCAATAGTAAAAAAAAAGTTTGCTCAAAAATCAAAAGAATTCTATATAATTTGACATAAAAATATAATCACTTGAATCGTACCTTGAATTATAAATCTGAAACACACGTCAAAATCGAAAAACAAACATCGTTGTCATGCATATTTATTTTTATTTTTTAATAAAATGCTGGGTTTTAAAATAATTTTTTCCTATTAAGTAACAAAACAAAAAAAAATGACGTTTGGAGTTCTCCAGTTTTGATTGCTGAAAATTGTAGATTACTAAGTATTGCCATTGTCGAGTTATTAAGATTAAATTTGTAGGTCTTTAATTCTAGCGCGAACATAAGTTCGAATTTTAACCTCAGTCCAAGATTGAATATAATCTCACATTGAACGCTAGGCATATATTTATTTATTTATGCACAGATATTAGAATGAATAATATAATCAAAATAAATGTTTTTTTGTTTTTGTTTTGTTTACTTACCCAATCTGGACCTGAGGTTGGTACATTGGTTGAAAGTGAAGTACCAAATGTATGAGGATATACCGAAGATGTTGATACCGTTGGTAATTTCCATGTTGGCGTTAAAAACGAATATTCTGCTTCAAGACTATTCATTTCTTTGCAATACTATTGCTACAACATGCATACAAAATAAGACACTCTATGTGTATGTATGTGTGTATGTGCGCCTGTTTAACTTTACTCTTCAAATGTGTGATAGATTATGTTTACTTAAAAGGAAAGGAAGCCTTCTATACAGAACGTTTCTATACTGTCCAATAGTTCTCATCTGTAATTTGATGAAATTGTTGACATTGAGTTTGAAAGAAGAAAAACATTATATGAAAATATCATTAAACTAGGAACGAGGATTTTTCGATTGATCGTCTTAGGAAAAAAGTAAGTATCTCAAGTTATACTTAAAATTAACTCAATTTCTTAATTAATGTCATGCTGGTATTTAATAAAATCGATAACGAAAAATTTTGAAAACAAAAACAAAAAAAAAACAAACGAGAGCCAAGAAAGAAGCAAAAGTGCACGTCAAGAAATCAAACAGAACGATCGCGAACACCGACTAACTTTAAATTATGTTGATGTAAAAATGTATCATAGCGACGTAAAAGAAGAAAATTTTTCTTTTTCTTTTTTTTCTTGTTCTCTTATTGAATAAAAACAAAAGTTTTTGTGTATTGTTTATTCAGATTTTTTTTCTTGAAGTAATATGACAACAAAGAATTTTTGTTCGATATTATGCATACGTATATGTTGAGAATAGTGAAAAGTTTATTTTTATTTTTTTTGTAAGCATTCTCTTGTTTTCGATTAACATAACAAATGAAACCCTTAATTTGTGTATTATATTTAAAACAAGACAAGAAGAAAAAAAATTCATACAAGAAAAGAATATATATATTTGTTTTTTTTTTTTTATATGTATTACTATCGGTTTTTATATCGCGAACCTTCAAATGCTTCAAGTGTTTTTTCTTCACGTACAGTAAATAAGTCATCATCAATATCACGATTTTTTGCACGTAAAGTTCGTTGACTATGATTATTAAATTCATTGTCATTGTCATCTTCATTATTTGTTGTTCGTCCATTGGAATCAAGTTTTGCATAACGTACATTTTTTTTCTTTGATTGTTGTTTATATTTATGATTTGTATCATGATTTGATATGTCGTCATCATCATTTTCGGATTGACGATTGATATTTGATCGATCAGTACGCATTGTTGTACGACTTGTTTGATTTGGTATTGATCGATTACCACCACGAATACCTGTTTGTTTTGGATATGTTTTATTTGCTGTTGATCCTGAACCAGGTCGTTTTGATGTACGACTAAGAGATTTCGAATCACTATTATTCATTCGTTGACGCGGTGTTTCATTACCGGATTCAGATTCCTATTTAAATAGAAGTAGAGAATTATTAAAATAAAAATTGAAAATAACCTGACTATCATCTGTCAATGGTGCAGAATAATGATATGATCGACTTGTTTCAGGACCATAATTCAGAGCAAAATTTCTATATCGAACTCGTTCACCATATGATTTTGATTGATCATAAAGTTGTTTCTATAAAAAATATATGATCATATATATTTCTTTTTTGCAAAATTAATTAATGCACTTTTTCTTCTCTTGAAAGTGAATAAAGATTTCCTTTTTTAAGATCCATGAAATCAGACCATGGAGATGGTCTAACAGCATTTTGAAGTAATGCATCTTTTGTTGAATGTCGAACATAATCACCATAATGTAAACGTTTTGCAGTTTTTTCATTCTATTAAATAAAAATATTTTCTGTGAGAAAAAAATCAAAATTAATTTATCTATACAATATTTTGTTGTTGTTGTTCAGCACGATCTGCACGCAGTTTTTGAAGAGCTTCACGAAAACGTTCATCAGTATCTTTGTGAACAAAATCACGATGAGTAAATTCATTATATAAATAATATGGATATATTGAATCATAATGATACTAAAAAAATGATAAACAAATATAATATAGGAAAATAATTTTACTTGTTTAGAATATTGTTTTCTCCATGATGTTGTTGTTATTGTTGGTGGTGGACGTTTAGGTGTTGGTGGTTCATATCGAGTTGTTTTTCGTTGTGAAATAGGTTTTGAATTTAGATTATCTTGAATTTAAAAACAGAATATTTCAATAATAATTTCTTAATTAAGAATAAATTACTTAATGAACTGGTTAATTTACTTTTTGTTGGTTTTGAATGATGAAATGATGAACTTATAGAATAATTATTTGTTGAAGGTTTTCGAAAAAAATCTCCATCAAAAAGTGTATCAAAATATGAATCATGTTGAGTTGTTTCATATGTTGGTTCATGAGGCTTAGTATCAGTTACTGGTTTCGTTTTACTAGCAAATGGTTTATTATCAACTTTTTTTGGTGCATGAGGTAGTGCACGTGAAGATTTTGCTTTATCTTTTTCATGTTGAGCTTGAACCATATGTAATTGACCAATTTTAACTGACCATGTTTGTTCAGCTACTTTGGCATCAATAGGTGATGCTTTTTTTGTGTCATTTACCCATGCTTGAATATCGATTGATGGTGGTTGTTTTCCTATTTCTGCAATAGTTGCATTTCGTTGAAGATGATTTTGTTGTTTTGTCAATGCTAATGGTGATTGAACTGGTGTTATATCATCATTTAATTTATCGTTTGAAGAATCTTTATGTGCACCTGTTGAAGGTTGTGTTCGTACTGTTGTTGTTTGTGTTGGATTTTTAAGTGTTGACTTTTTTTTCATTTCATCTGATTGTCCTTTCTTTTTTGTTTGTGTTGAACTCCAAATCGATTTAGATTGTTGATTACTATCAACAACATTTAACGTTTGATTATAATTTTGTTGCTGATGTGCTAAAATATTCATTGGACCACTCATATTATTATCATTTATTGAACGAGCTACACTTGATGCTGTATTTGTATTTGATGCTGTTACAAGACTTTCAGAATATTCAGTTATATCATTTAATGAAGCAAGTGAATCATTTGGTGGAAGAGGTCTATGAAAATTGTTTAATGTTGAATTTTGATATTTTGTTGTAGGAAAAACAGATGTAGAATTTGAAAGTGAATATAACGGTGGACGATATGTTGATATATCATGAGTGATTGGATTAAATGCTAAATCATCACTTAATAATCGATCTGTACTTCCATAGGGTACTACTGATGGTTGATAAAGATTATCATATGATGAGCGACTAACAAGATTATCACTAAGTAATGTTGATGTATCATATGATGCTGGATACGCAGCTAGAAGGCTTGTCGCATAGCTCATGATGTTTCGCTTTTAGTTTCTTCTTTTTTTTTTTTCGGTGTCGATTAATAAAGCAAATAGAGTTGTGCAAAACTTTTTTTTCTCTCGCATTTTGTGTACATGTGTTTGTATTATTCTCGAAAAAAAAAATTACAAATCCTTTTAACGTGAGATGTATGTGCGCTTTTGTCGATTGAATAAAGTTAATTTAAACGAAATAGATGGAAATATGAAAGCTAAATATTATTGTGTTTTAAAGAAAAATGTCTATTGCTTGTTTCATTCAATTTTTCGACTTATGATTTAAATTAAAGAAAAAGAAAACAAATTCAAATGTTCCTTGTTCTGTCCTTCGAATAGAAAAGAACAAAAAAAGTATTGTTTTGATCCTGTATGATCGTATACATCACCTTTTGTTCAATATTGATGATCAAATTACACACTCAGTCAATGACTATTTGTTGTGTCCGCCTTATTTCCAAGGTCTAAATGTGTAAACTTAATAGTTAAGATGACTACTTTTGTTTTGTACAAATGTCCAGACAGACAACGTGATCAAATGACCTCAACCACTACGTCATCAAATCTATGTGAAGAAGTATCGAAATATGAGATGTAAAAAAAACAAAAAAAAGAATAGTCAATTATTTGAAAATGTCTGATTGTCACCGATCTTTTCGATTGCATTCGTCATTTATTACACACGGACAAACGGTGGAATTAACATGATCGTATTTGGCCTTTATTTTATCATTGCAATACATCTTGTTTATAGTCAAGGTAATAAAATAATAACTAAATATGTTTTGAGAATAAATAATTTGCTAATAGATGTTTGTGATACTATTAATTGTGGTACGGGTATTTGTATACAAACACTAAATCCTTCATTACCTTATTATTGTCGATGTCCTAGTGGTACAAACACAATATTTCCATGTCCATTTGAAAGTTTGTTGAAAAAGTTTTGAGAAATAATATTCATATAAAGAAGAAATCTTTTATTTAATAGATCCATGTTCAAGAAATCCTTGTGGATTAGGTTCATGTGAAGTAGTACCAAGTTTAATTCATGGATATCTTTGTCGATGTCCAGGTGATGTTATTTCATTAACAAATTGTAATGGTAAATAATTGTGTTGTGTTGTGTTATACGAATAATTTTTACTAGAATAAATAACATGTTTATGTATATATAGTTACACGTACTGGTTGCTATTCAAATCCTTGTGTCAATGGTTTATGTATTGAAGGTTTAGCAAGTTATTATTGTAATTGTTTACCTACATGGACTGGAAAATTATGTGATGGTATTTAAATAACAAAAAAAGAATTTTTTTTTTTTAAATGTTTTGTTTTATAATTTTGTAGAAAAAATTGTTTCACCTTGTTCAAAAGGTCCATGTAATCCAGGCAAATGTTTTCAACTTGATGATCGAAATATACCATTTGTTTGTTTATGTCCAAATGGACAATTTGGATTATCTTGTCATAGTAAATATGTTCTCTTTTTATTTGATTGAATCCATAATGCTTTTTTTCTTTTATTTAAGCTTTTGGATATCCACCTTCTACTGCTCGAATGTTAACAACAACTACTACGACAACTACAACTATTCGTTCACCTTATGCATGTAATCCATCAGACTCTCAAGCTTGTATGAACGGTGGCAAATGTTTACAAATAACACGTAGTTATCGATGCTTTTGTACTCCAGGTTATACTGGTACTTTTTGTGAAACAAGTAAGTTATAAAATTAACTTTTATTTGTATTTCTATTTTGATAATTTAAGATATTAATGAATGTGCATCAAGTCCTTGTAAGTCATTTTAAAATAAAACTAATTTATTTAGTAAGAATTTTATTTTTTATTATAAGGTCAACATGATGGAATTTGTTATGATCTTGAAGCATCATATATTTGCTATTGTCCAGATGGATTTTTTCGTCCACAATGTCCATCTAGATCGAGTAAATCAGTTTTATACTCAATGTTGATTAAAGTATACTATATTTCAGCATGTATTTAATAACAATCATTATAAATCAACCTAAATGGATATGAAATAATTGATAATAACATCTATTATGGATTCCTATGAAATCCGAATAAATTCTTAGTTCAAGAGAAAAATCTTTGACTTTTTTTTTTTCAGTTGCAACAAGTACTAGTGCTCGTTCATTTATATGTCCATGCCAAAACGATGGTACATGTTCAATATTTGGCTCTGAAACATGTGTATGTCCTAATGGTTTTACTGGTCGTTTTTGTGAACATTTAATACGTGAGTTTAATTATTTGATTTTGTTCTATTAAACAAAAAATTCATAAACATAATTTTACAATGATCTAATGTATATTTTAGCGACTAGTAGTTGTGGTCGAATAAAATGTTCAAATGGTGGTACGTGTCATGAAAATGCATTAGAACTATCTGTTTTACCTTATTGTTCATGTAAAAGTGGATATACAGGAAAATTTTGTGAAACTGGTTTGTAGATTTTTTGTGAGTAAAACCATAAATAATTGTTGTCGCTTGTTTTAAAGAATATTTTCGATGTCGATCAAATGGTCGTTTTGCTGATTTGTATAATTGTATAGAAGGAAAATATTTTGAATGTATTCATTATCAACAAGGTTTGATTATTCAGTTAGTTTTAATTCAATTTTTCTTTTTTTTTTTGTCTTGTTGACGATTTAGGTGTTGGTTCAAATCCATATGGAATGTTATTAAGTCGAAATTGTCCAGCAACACTTCGATTTAATATTCAAGTTGATCGTTGTGATTATCCGCAAAATGTTCAATGTCTTTATCCTCAAAAATAAAAATAAATAATCATGATGACTTCGTTTTCTTTTTCAAGTTGCAATAGTTTTTATTGTTGTTTTTGCTCGCAAAGTTTTTTTTTGTCTGTTGTGTTAATTGTTTCTTTTTTGTGAATATATAATTTAACAAATAGTTGAAAATAACTGAAATAGAACTCGAAATGAATTTGACCTAGAATTTTTTGATTGAACCTGCTAATGTAAAAATGTCCAATGAAATTAATTGACAAGTCTAAAATATATATGTCTATGCAGAAGATAATTAATTTATTCAGTTAAAAAAAAAAAAAAAAAATTTTCTATACACATCATTATAATTTTACGATAGTATTCATAGTTCGTAAAATGAATTGTCAATATAAAAAAAAAACGTTGATGCCATAGATCGTCGTTTTAGTACCACTGTCTTTTATCAATGTTACATTTGATAAAACGCCAAATGTCACTGAAGTTATCAAATCACTCGATATATTACTTTCAGAATTCATATATTCATCAGTATATGACCAACCAGTTTATTGCATAGATGCTATCTTCATTATTTAACATTCGATTATCTGTATGTGTATATGGATTTTTTAATATTTTGACTAGTTTGTATGTAATGAGAATATATATCAAGAGCTTTACAATGCCATAAAGTAACAGCTTCGTTAGAAATCGGTAAACAAATGTTAACAACCATAACAACAATTTGAACACGAAATCAAACTCCAACACGAACCTCTCTAGTAAAGATGTCCAAATAAATTACATTTGATGTAGATAGATCAACTTATGATATATTTTGTCTAATAAGTAAAATATTCTAATAGTGTAAGCCTTCAGTTACTTTGGGTTGTTAAAAAAAAGTCTAGATTTTGAGCACTTCGATTTCCAAAATAAATTTTTCTTTGGATTACACAGGATGATAGAACAGATAAACCTCTAGAAAATTAAACGTCTTCGATTAGTCTACAACATTTTCTAACTTAATGACATCAATTTGATGAGAAGCAAAAAAAGTGTTTTTTTTTTCGTCATTTCCTGTGGGGCCAAAGAAACTGCTACGCTTTTGTTAAAATTGATGTCGTTCAGTTAAAATATGTCCTAGAGCACTCGGAGACATTTCATTCTCTAGAGAATTAGTTGCTCCATTCCTCTGTGCAATCAAAATGAACGTATTTTTTGAATTCAAAGTGCTGAAGAACAACATTTGGAAATATTATGAAGATTTTATTCCTTTCAAAAATTTTTATTGAAGACAATTTTCTCTATCTAAATTACTATTTAGATTCTTTATGCCAGTTAATATTACGGAAAAGACTCGAAATTACATCTATACTATTAGTTTTTAGAGCTACTGCATAGACAATTACTTCTTGATTAAGTAGTTAACTTAACAGCTGTAAATATTTTTTTGCAGAGTTGGGTAGCATGACTGCATGTCAAGAGCTTATTAAAAATATATTATGACAATGTGAGAAAAAAAGAAAAAAAAACGTACATGGTTTTTTTGTATTCTTCGGTCTGTTACATTGATAGATTTGAATTATGCTATGAAAAAAAAATGACCTAATTTAAGGTAATAATAGATTCATGTGCATACGAAATGAGACTTTTTTTCTGTCTTTATTATTTAATAAATCTGCATAGTCTTAATGTATCTTGATAATTAAATACAACGCTCTCATAGAAAACGAAGGCAAAATATGAATTAAATTCAAGAAATCTTCTTAATCTTTTGTATAACTGCGTATAAAATATATCATCAGAATTCAGAACAATGTGTTCTTAATTTATAACATATAAATTTTTAATTACTTTTTTATTTCGTATCCATTTTATTTTCACAAAAAAAAAAAAAATCAAAATTATGCAAATATCACGTTTTTAATACTTATTTCATTTAATTTTCATTATTTTTTGTTGCGTAGTTTCTATTTCTTTTATATAAAACTCATTTTTTATTTGAGATACTTGGAAATATTCGATGGATATTGACATCTTATGAATGAGTCAGGCAATCCATAATGAAAAACAAAATATCCAGAATCATTTCATGTTCGACTTGAGAACTTGTTTAGAAAAAATCATTTTTTGTATTGTATTCATAAGAGATTCAAGTATGATGTCGATCTAATTGTTCAATGGATTGTTATAAAACAAGAAGAGAAAAAGAAAAAAAAATTGTTATTGTCATTGAGAGAAG